TCGTTAAATTTTTTTCTTTCATATTTTTCACTTTATTTCCTGTACTATTGGGTTTACAGAAAAAAATATGGGAAATGATTTGTAGGAAATGTTCCAGTGGATAACTTTGCACTCGTGATAATTTTCGATTTTTCCATTTGTTTTCGATATATATTGAATTGAAAGGATTTCAAATTTTGATGTTTTGATTTTCATTTGTTTTTTCATTTTCCGATGGATGCACGGAAAAATGGTTGAATAATAATTTGTTGCGTCATCAAAGAGGCATACGGTGCATTTTTCAAATTTGGATTTAGTCTATTGGTTCACGAGATATGTCGTTTTAAAGCGAACCGTGTTTTTCGGAAAATCTCCTTGAAAAACCCACTTGGAATTTCCCGACCCTGCTCAATTTCAATAGGCTTCGTTTCTTCCTGATAGAGTTATTCTTCACGAAAAATGAAATCGATCGGACCACTTTTGCGATTCGTAGAGTGGTTACAAGAAACTTCCGGTGAAAAATCGAAAAATCCCGGAAAATCCACCTTAGAGTTTTCCGATTTCCTTCATATTTCAATGACATAATATTGTTTTGAGTACAATAAGATGGCAAAATTTCAAGTCGATATGTCGAAGGGTTCCGGAGATATATCGATTTATGATTAACACAGAGTACAGACAGACAGACAGACAGACCACACACAAAAACCAAAGTTGCTCAAAATTCGATGGGGATCATTTTCTCCAAAGTAACTATACCTCTATCTCGCTTAGTTTCCGAGATTGCATTTTTGGCAAGGCCGTAGTATACTCCACTATGTATAGCGTCGTATAACAAGTGAGGTATGTAGTTTTTGAAAGGTAGCGCAGATTAGTATAGATGTAGTTTTCATTAGGTCAGATAATTTATACGACGCTATAAAAGCAGATGATATTTTATCATTGCTCATGTAAGATGAAAGTAGAGGCCATGGCACCATATCATGAGCATATTTACATATTGAAACTATCATTGGGCACCAAAGATGTGTATACGACGCTATGAAAGTTCAGAGAACTGGAGATTTTTCCCACAAACTACGTACTTAGCCCACTCGACTGTTTTTGTTTTCCACACAAACTACGTACCTAGCCCACTCGACTGCCAATAGGGACTGAAAAAACAAAAACAAAAGAAAGTTAAAACTTTGCCAACATATTTCTTCTTTGTGGGAAATCAAGACAGTAGAGTGAGCTAGGTACGTAGTTCATGGGCAAAAAATTTAGACAGTCGAGTGAGCTAGGTACCTAGTTGATTGCCGAAAAATAAAGAGAGTTGAGTGAGCTAGGTAAGTAGTTTATAGGAAAAAATCAAGACAGTCGAGTGTGCTTTTTTTACTTCCTTTTGTTTTTTGTTTCGTTTTCTATTGGCAAGTGATTATCTAGGAACTTGTAAATTTTTTAGTTTTTTCATCGTATCTCCCGAACTATTGAATTCAGAGAAAAATGTTATTTGGATTTTTTGTAGATTTAATCAAAAGGAATAATTTTGGTTTCATAACATTTTCAGATATTTTCAGTTGTTTTCGAGATATTTGGAATTATCTGAGAATAAAATTTTCAACACTTTTGTTCCATCTTCCAATCAACAAAATGAAAAAATATTCCATGCCTCAGTGGAGGTAGATGAGCTTCATCTATCGATAATCTATGTTTTTCAATATATCTTCATAGTACCCTATGGGTCGTTAAAATTTTTTTTTCATATTTTTCACTTTATTTCCTGTACTATTGGGTTTACAGAAAAAATTATGGAAAATGATTTGTAGGGAATGTTCCAGTGGATAACATTGCACTCCTGATAATTTTCGATTTTTCCATTTGTTTTCGATATATATTGAATTAAAAGGATTTCAAATTTTGATGTTTGGGTTTTCATTTGTTTTTCCAGTTTCCGATGGATGCACGAAAAAATGATTGAATGATAATTTGTTGCGTCATCGAAGAGGCATACGGTGCATTTCTCAAATTTGGATTTAGTCTATTTGTTCACGAGATATGTCGTTTTAAAGCGAACCGTGTTTTTCGGAAAATCTCCTTCAAAAACCCACTTGGAATTTTCCGACCCTGCTCAATTTCAATAGGCTTCGTCTCTTCCTGATAGAGGTTTTTTTCACAAAAAATGAAATCGATCGGACCACTTTTGCGATTTGTAGAGTGGTTACAAGGAACTTCCGGTGAAAAATCGAAAAAACCCGGAAAAACCACCTTAGAGTTTTCCGATTTCCTTCATATTTTAATGACATAATATTGTTTTGAGTACAATAAGATGGCAAAATTTCAAGTCGATATGTCAAAGGGTTCCGGATATATATCGATTTATGATTAACACAGAGTACAGACAGACAGACAGACAGACAGACCACACACAAAAACCAAAGTTGCTCAAAATTCGATGGGGATCATTTTCTCCAAAGCAACTATACCTCTATCTCGCTTAGTTTCCGAGATAGCATTTTTGGCACGGCCGTAGTATACTCCACTATGTATAGCGTCGTATAACAAGTGGGGTACGTAGTTTTTGAAAGGTATCAGATTAGTATAAAGGTTAGATAATTTATACGACGTTATAAAAGCAGATGATGTTTTATCATTGCTCATGTAAGATGGAAGTTGAGGCCATGGCACCATATCATGAGCATATTTTTATATTGAAACTATCATTGGGCACCAATGATGTGTATACGACGCTATGAAAGTTCAGAGAACTGGAGATTTTTCGTACAAACTACGTACTTAGCCCGTACCTAGTTTATTGGCAAAAATAAAGACAGTAGAGTGAGCTAGGTACGTAGTTTATGGGAAAAAAATCAAGACAGTCGAGTGTGCTTTTTTTACCTTCTTAAGTTTTTTGTTTCGTTTTCTATTGGCAAGTGATTATCTAGGAACTTGTGAATTTTTTAGTTTTTTCATCGTATCTCCCGAACTATTGAATTCAGAGAAAAATGTTATGAGGATTTTTTGTAGATTCTATCAAAAAGAATAATTTTGGTTCTTTAACATTATCAGATATTTCCAGTTGTTTTCGAGATATTTGGAATTATCTGAGAATAAAATTTTCAACACTTTTGTTCCATCTTCCAATCAACAAAATGAAAAAATATTTCATGGTTCAGTGGAAGTCGATGAGCTTCATCTATCGATAATCTATGTTTTTCAATATATCTTCATAGTACCCTATGGGTCGTTAAAGTTTTTTTTTTTCATATTTTTCACTTTATTTCCTGTACTATTGGGTTGACAGAAAAAATTATGAGAAATAATTTGTAGAAAATGTTCCAGTGGATAACTTTGCACTCGTGATAAATTTCGATTTTTCCATTTGTTTTCGATATATATTGAATTGAAAGGATTTCAAATTTTGATGTTTGGGTTTTCATTTGTTTTTCCAGTTTCCGATGGATGCACGAAAAAATGATTGGATGATTATTTGTTGCGTCATCAAAGAGGCATACGGTGCATTTCTCAAATTTGGATTTAGTCTATTTGTTCACGAGATATGTCGTTTCAAAGCGAACAGTGTTTTTCGGAAAATCTCCTTGAAAAACCCACTTGGAATTTTCCGACCCTGCTCAATTTCAATAGGCTTCGTCTCTTTCTGATAGAGGTTTTTTTCACAAAAAATGAAATCGATCGGACCACTTTTGCGATTTGTAGAGTGGTTACAAGGAACTTCCGGCGAAAAATCGAAAAAACCCGGAAAAACCACCTTAGAGTTTTCCGATTTCCTTCATATTTTAATGACATAATATTGTTTTGAGTACAATAAGATGGCAAAATTTCAAGTCGATATGTCAAAGGGTTCCGGAGATATATCGATTTATGATTAACACAGAGTACAGACAGACAGACAGACAGACAGACCACACACAAAAACCAAAGTTGCTCAAAATTCGATGGGGATCATTTTCTCCAAAGCAACTATACCTCTATCTCGCTTAGTTTCCGAGATAGCATTTTTGGCACGGCCGTAGTATACTCCACTATGTATAGCGTCGTATAACAAGTCGTTATTGATAAATAGGTACCTACTAGATTCCAGTGCCATTGTTGCGAATCTCTGATCAGAACAGTGCATTCGGGTTGATTACAACAAAGGTAGCTATGTCTTTATTGACTAGTGGTTCATAAAATGACGAAAACTACCTTGGTTGTGAAAGTACACTTCACGCCTCGAAAAGGAGCAAATAATGGTATGTTTCATAAGCTAGTGGTGGAAAAAAATGTATTATATGACATTGGACTGGAAATAAATTAATGAAATCGTCAAGAACTAGTTAAACAAACGAATGGTTGGGGCTCATTGTAGGATTTAGGAGAAAATTTATGAAACGATAATAAGTAGATTCTTTTCTACAGCATTTCTATACACGATGTTTCGCAAACGAGGCTGCTCTAGAAATAAATTTACCGTGTTTATTTCTTTGAAACTATTTCACCATCATCCCTAACTGTTTCAAACTCAATAAAGCATAAATTCGAGAAGATCGAATTCCAGCTAACTTCGTCAATTCAGGAAGCTAAGGCAGCAATACACAGTTTGTGTTTTGTTCAAATAGTAATTGGGAACTTACTTGATCACTATGCCATTACTGAATGATAGTTTTGAGGGATGAAAACCACAGAAACATAATATTTAAAATTCCGACTATTCGTCGATATATTTCGAATTTCTCAAAGCTATAGAATACACATGGAAAATAGATTATTTTCGAAAACCTGCAAGTAAATAAATTTATAGAAGGCTATTGATGTCTAAACACATACCTAACTTATAGTTATATCAGGTTGTGATTTGATAAAAATAATTTATGTGGGAAACAATCATGTGGGAACAAATCAATCAATTTCCTATGCTTGTAGAAAAAATATTGTTCCTAACTAATACGGAAAGTGTCTTTTCCGCACTCGACTGCTTGCTCGAGCTCCGCTTCGCGTCGTTCGGGCACTTGTTAGGGAAATTACTATTACTGGGCACTAACCTGACAGGTATATTGACTTCGATTAGCGACGGGATGACGGTTCCCTCGGCCAACCTGATGAACGCTATCGCCGGTTGATCCAAAAACTCCACTTCCCCTACGAGCACGACTGACCCCTCTGCCCCCGCCGGGATCCTCTTGAGAATCGTCTCGTTGTGCTGGCCCGTCTTCAGGTCCTCATTGCTGGTAGCTTGAGGAACATCTTTGATGTCGATCACCACCTTCTTTTCAGGACGTTTCAGAAGGGCATCTTGGGACGGATCGCCGTTTTTTATGTGGTTGGTGTGATTGTCGATGGGGTAGCTACGTTTCCTTTTGTCGGGTTCGAATAAATTCTGAGATTGAGAAATATAACAATGAATATTGTTGAAAGTAGGTACAGTATGATGCCAAGTAAGGAATGAGTTCGATAATTTTGTTATATTGAGAGTTTGCGGAGTAAGTTGCCGTAGAATTGACATACGATTGTTTTTTCAATCCAGATTATACCACTGTCCTTTTGAAAGGTCACTGTGCAAACTTTTGTTTCTGTTGAAAATGCAAATAAATCATAAATAGGTCTTGAATGCGATTGGGAAAACTGAAAAAATGCACTTCTATAAAATAATTGAGGATCGTCTCGTTGTGCTGGCGAACGTCTTTGATGTCGATCACCACCTTCCTTTCAGGACGTTTCAGAAGGGAGTCTTGAGACGGATAGTCTTTTTTTATGTGGTTGGTGTGATTGTCGATGGGGTAGCTACGTGGTTTGTCAGGTTCGAATAAATTCTGAGATTGAGAAACATGAGAATAAGAATGAATATAGTTGGAAATAGTTACAGAATGATGCCGAAGTATGGAATGAGTTCGGTATTTTTGTTAGATTGAGAGTTTGCGAAGTAAGTTGCCGTAGAATTGACATACAATTGTTTCATCAACCCAGATTATACCACTGTCCTTCTTAAAGGCCACTGTGCAAAACTTTTGTTCCTGTTGAAAATGTTAATGAAGCATGAATAGGACTCGAATGCGATTGGGAAAACTGAAAAAACTGACTTCTATAAAAAAATAGAGGATTGAGGATTGTGCCGTTGTGCTGGCCCGTCTTCAGGTCCTCATTGCTGGTAGCTTGAGGAACGTCCTTGATGTCGATCACCACCTTCTTTTCAGGACGTTTCAGAAGGGAGTCGTGGGACGGATCGTCTATTTTCATGTGGTTGGTGTGATTTTCGATGGGGGTCGAATAAATTTTGAGAATATAGTTGGAAATAGGTACAGAATGATGCCGAAGTATGGAATGAGTTCGGTATTTTTGTTATGTTGAGAGTTTGCGGGGTAAGTAGGCGTAGAATGGGTATGCGATATTTTATGATTTATGAACTAATCGCGGGGGTTTATCTATTGTAATCTAGTCGAAGGTGGAAAAAATGTGCAAATTTGATTGAGAAAATTGAATAATCAATATCATTCTCACTGATGTTTGCATAACTGTTTATAACTGATATAGTTTGAAAAATTAATGGACGTGCCAAAAACGAAATGGACGTGTCACAACTTTCATCGCGAACTCTCTCACACTTCAATGATGCTAATAAAAATAATCAATGTCTTTATTGGATTCGAAGTAGTCGCAGGTACATCGTTTCGTAAAAAGATAGTTTCGAATCCAAAAGACAAAGTTCAAGTCTACTTTGCTTTGATCTACTTTCTACTTGAGAATCATACTAAATAGTTTGTTTTGAAATGAGGCACCTCTTCTTAAATCTATTAATGGTCTGTTCAAATATATAATGACCTATAATATTTGCTATCTTAGCTATACATCGACGTTATCATGCGTTGCCATAAAATAAAACAAATGAAAGCATTTTCAACTTAAATTTTCTAGAGAAAATCTGTAAAAACCTAAGTGTTTGTTGAATTCTGTTCCATGATTTACGATCACAAAATTGTTCTTTCATTCATTTTCTCTGAGGAACGAAAAATAAAGGGGAGTCCTTTTCGTGCGCTCCAAAAGAGACACTATCTTATTATTAGAAAAGGTGCGATCCAAAAATAATTTATCCTTTTTCAGAATTATGAAGATTCGTGAAAAATGGTCATGATAAGAATATGAAAATAAAAATATCCAGCTTCGCATCAGAAGTACAACTTTGGATTGAGAGATTGAGAGCATTAACCATTTTTTTTTCAACTCTGAACTATACTGACACCATGTGTATAACTTCAATTAAAGTATCTTTTCGTTTTGAAAGTTGTACTTTTCCGATCGATTTTAATTTTGCGCACGATTTCTACTTTTCTGCACGATTTTATCGGGGGTAATACCAGTCGATCTGATCTGACAAAATCACGAGAGCGTAGCTCGAGTGATTTTTTTCAGCACAGCTCTCGTTAAATTGCCAATGAAAGTATGAGAAAGGCACCGTCAAAAATATCCTGCTATATCTGAGCTCTGCTGGTATTTGGTGAGACATTTCCATGAATAGAAGACTTAATTCGATTTAACTTTATTCAGCAAACTAAAAGAACAATATAAGTAGACTACACTATCGCAGCACTTGTTTTGGGCCACCCTATCATGTTTTGGAAAAAAACTGCTTGTATTATTCAATGCCATCACTAATATTTGATTTTTTCTTTTTTGAAGTAGTGTCAGCTTCACCTCCTCGGCAAGCTAATTCATGCAGCGATATGAATACATATTTTTAAAAGACCTATGGGACAATCCTCATCCCATATTAATACCATTTTAACAATTTCACTTTTAGTTAATGCTAGAAAAACGTAATAATAGTCCATAATACGTTTTTCTTAATGATTTCGTAAGTTCTTTCGCTTAGAATTGCGTTCAACTCGGGATTTCTGATATGCCAAATCAGTGAAAGGGTTGAAAGTAACACCCAATTTTTCGAAATACATGCTCTACCAGTGGCGGCTCCTCATAGGAGGCAACGGAGGCTGAGCCTCCTCAGAGATTTTCCTTGAACTGATATTATCTATACTTTCTCATTAAAAGGACACCAAAATACATTAATTTTGATTTTATTTCCTGTTTTTAGGTGAATATTTCTGAATTGGCAACAGTGCACACGTTGAAGTCTGTAAATCACGCGTAAAATATTCAACTTGGCAACATCTATAGGAGGCTAGACTCCTTCATAATACGCAAGCGCAACCTTGAGCGCAACCCACTCGCGCAATGCAAATGTCCGAATACGCCCGAATTGCGGGCATTGTTTATGTTTATAATGGGATAATGGTTAGGGGCTCTATAAATTTCTGAAAAATTAGTGTTTTAAAGTTTTAAACGATTGCAATTTAGTGGAATACTTTTTGGTGAACCCATTCAGTGCTTTGTCTTATGAAGATAAATTGATTGTGAAAACAAACGTCCGACACCGGAATTAAAAAATCTGATTGTAACAGGTAACAAACAAAATCGTTCGTTCAATTCTGATAATTATAAAAAATATATCTGGCTGACGGGATCTGAGGTAAGGAATTAGCTATTTTGTTGGTACTGCGTATTATTTTCAACCGATAAGTCATCATGTTGGGGGCGATTAGGATATAATGATTTGAAAAATTTGGCTCGCGGATTGGATAGACACTGCGAATCACAGGAACACATCTCTTCAAGTATTAAGTTCAGGTTAACTTGTAAGGAGAATGTCATTAAAGCTATTGATTTGGGTGAGTAGAGAGTTGTTTTTCACGATAAATCTCATATCATTCAGCCTCCTCTGTCATGAAAGTCACGAGCCGCCACTGTGCTCTACAATATCTTTGCTGTTGTGTTTAAAATTGTTTTCACTACCTATTCTTTAAAATCTTCCCCATTCTGTTTCTTTATATCGAAGCCCCACTTTATCAGTATTCCTGCTACATTTTTCACTGACTGTCCGGTTTTCAAGTTCCGTTGTTTACAAATTTCGCTGAATTGGTTCCAAATGGAGGGATTACTTCTTTCTGTATTATCTGGAGTTGATTTTCCAATATCCATAACTATTTCTGCCTCACGAAAACTACCAAATCTCCACATACTTATACTGGAATATCAATTGCTGTTCAATGTTCAATTATGTTTTTTGATATTTACAAATTGTAAATACGATATTATGTCGTCAAACTGATCCGACGCTCAACACTTGATAAGAGAACTGTGAATTCTAGCCTTGCTATGATAACGTAATTTATCGAAGAAAAGTTACTTAACCGCACTAGTGCTGAAAAGTTACTTTTCTGCACGATTTTTGTATTGTTGAGAATGAGGATATTTAGGACTAACTACATGATCTTTGAAACCATTCTGTCTTATGTGTTATTTTGTAGCGTTCTTATTATAAAATCTTTTTTATTAAAAACCTTTTTAATTCATTAATGATATATTTAGATCTATGATAATATGGACAAAAATGCTCCTATGAAAAACATTGTACCTAACTCTTGCGGAAAACTACTGCTTTCAGCACTTGTTGGGTAAATAACTATCAAGTCCTTCTATCGAGCACGAAAAACCCTTTTGAATGACATATCACAAGTGGACATTTGTTTCAAATATGGCGGCGCAGGAGACATTTTGTATGAAATCTGTGACGTCATCGAGCAAATTTTCGTCAAGTAACTTAATGAAATAGCAGCTATATACGAGGCACGTTGATTAGTTTTCGATGGAACCTGCGAAAATTTTGATTCATTGCTAATCAGGATTCTTTTTATTAATTCCTTCAACAAATGACATCCTCTTTCTTGAATTTTCTCGAAAATTCCCGGTGAAACCGGAAGGGATATTAACTTGGTTTTACATGGAATATATGGGTTTTATTGAAATATATCATCAATCCGAATTTGAAAGTTCTAACTTAAAAAACAACTGAATAAAGCCCTGTCCACTGATCTCATTGTCACCTGGTATATTATTAGTGCATGCATTGAATTGCTTGATGTGAATTGAAGAGAATGCAATTAGAGATTGAGGCTGATAATTCATAAAGAATATACGTATATATAAGTGTACAATACTGAGAAAAAAATCAGCTACAGATGAGCATAATGCTGTTCAATACTACCTACAAGCTACATTTTATTTAACAGAAATTCTTAAATGTTGAAAAATAATTATGTATGGGTGAATGGTGAATTACTGTTTGGTTTGGCAACAAGATATTTAACGATATACCTACGAATGAACCACAAGCAAGCAATACATATACTATTGAAAAGAAATGAGGATGGTTAAATCACTATTATCTGTAATTCGATTCAAAAAATGATCCATTAATCTAGAATTCCGGGAAAAGGGATGAGTAGGCAAACTTGCATAATTGATCCTCCGACAGACCCCATACATGAA